CTAGAGAGTTCTAAAAGAAAAATTATTAGAAGAAATTCTTATGGGTGTACAAAATGCCCTGAACAGCTCAGGTTTCTTAAAGGATGTGCATGATTAATAGATGAAAGGAACACATAATCATCACACAGTTATACAGTGCTAAGATTTTAAGAAATAAACATTTAAGAATTTTCAAAGACCAAAATTTAAAACGAGCTGAGATGCCTCAGAGTGCACAAAGAACTTTTAAGGTTGTCTTTGGAGCAAGAGCAACAAGAGGGAAGGGATAGCTCACTGTCTGAGGAAGATATTCTTAATGTTTCTTTACAGGTAAAAATCAGACCTATACAATTCTTACTTTGCTTCTGTAATCCTGCAGTAGCAGAAATCCTTTTCCTATAGTAAAAGGTAAAACAAACAACCCGAAACAGAAGAAATTAAACAAACAAACAAAAAATATGAGAAGATGGAGTATCATTCACTTTAAATGAATTTAAATTTTCAAGACCCAAATGAATTGCCTCCCAGGAGTTGATGGACTCAGGTATAATCTTAGGGTTGTCAGTATTTTTTTATTTTTTTAACAAAATCAGTGAGAATATGGGATAAATACTTGGAGAGAGGAGAGAGACAAATGTCCCAGTTTCCAAAAAGGAATAAAGTATATTGCAAAAACCCAAGACCAGTTCCCTACTTTAAACTGTGGTAAAATTGGAAGAGATTGTAAAAAAAATGAAATATTGTGTTTAGAAGAGAATGAGATGATCACTATGAATCAATATGAATTTATAAGAATAAGACATGCCAAACTGACCTCATTTTTTTTTTTTTTTTTTGCTTTATTTTCAGTTTTATAATTGCTACTGAATTAGAGAATAGTAAAGACATGTTGTATCTTGACTTTAGCCAAGTGGTTGACAATGATTCCTTATCTATCCTTGTGGAAACATGATGAAATTAGATTGTAATTAGATTGATTTACAGCTGCTTGCCTGGCCATCCCCATGCCAGCATGCCCAGGGTTTAGTTAAATAATAGTTACTTTATATACTGGTTCCTCACAGAGAACTGGTGGTGAACATTAATTTGCATATATTCAGAAAGTATGGATTTGTAGTTATTAGTTTTTTTAAGGATTTGTATGTTGAAACTTGAGTACCTAGATTTATTCATATGATTGAGGTTTCTGTTAGGGACTTTTTTCCAACTGAGCTGTATTTGTAAGATATATAAATCTGTTTTTAATTTATATATGTAACCTTGACTTATAAATTACTTAAAGTCAAGGCATAATATTAACATTTAGAGCAAAGTCTGACTATGTTAAGAATGCTAACATTATGAGGAATCTTTTCTTTGTTCAGTAACAACTATATTAAGCTCACTTGGATGTTTTTCATACCTTTGAAATGTCATTCCTGTGAACTATCCCTAAATAAAAGGCAGATGTTCATATACAACTTGATAGTACAGATATACTCAGCAGTGTCTTTTTGAGTCAGTGTGTCTGTTGGCCTTCTGGTAATCCCACAGTCAGCTGCCTGTTCAAGATATTTACATATTTTTAAAAACAATACAAATTCCCTGGAATCATATCAAAGAGAGAACCATATATTTTGTCCCCTTAGGAAGTTCTTTTGGCAGTCCATGATAACTGCTACATCCAATTTTTTTTTAAATTAATTGTTACTTTTAGAGAATGCAAACCCATAGTTAACTTATTAAACTTTCATCATAATTGATATTTCTTTGATGCTTGTAATATTTTGCCTCTAGCCTCAAAAAAGTGTGATGACTTTTTTGAATACTTGCAGATGTTTACATAAAATATCACAATTATTTATTTATTTGTTTATTTTTGAGACAGAATCTCATTCTGTTGCCCAGGCTGAAGTGCAGCAGGGCGATCTCATCTCCCTGCGACCTCTGCCTCCCAGGTTCAAGCGATTCTCCTGCCTCAGCCTCTGGAGTAGCTGGGACTACAGGCACATATCACCATATCCTGCTAATTTTTGTATTTTTAGTAGAGATAGGGTTTAACCATGTTGGCTAGGCTGGTCTCGATTTCCTGACCTCAAGTAATCCAACTGCCTCGGCCTCCCAAAGTGCTGGGACTACAGGCATGAGCACCGGGCCAAAATATCACACTTACAAAATTGTCCCTCACACTTTTCTTTGCAACTGTTCATCTCGGTGTTACATCTAGAATCCCAGTAGAAGTGAAGGGTGAAAAAAAGAGTGCAATTCCAGCCTTGGCCTCTCACTCTTAAGATCTTGTAGGCCCTTGAAAGAAGAATTGAGGCCCTGCACGGTGACTCAAGCCTGTAATCCCAGCACTTTGGGAGGCCGAGGCGGGCGGATCATGAGGTCAGGAGATTGAGACCAACCTGGCTAACAAGGTGAAACCCATTTCTACTAAAAATACAAAAAATTAGCCGGGCGTGGTGGCAGGCGCCTGTAGTCCCAGCTACTCCGGAGGCTGAGGCAGGAGAATGGGGTGAACCCAGGAGGCGGCGCTTGCAGTGAGCCGAGATCGCGCCACCACACTCCAGCCAGGGCGACAGCGTGAGACTCCGTCTCAAAAAACAAAACAAAACAAAACAAAACAAAAATTGAGTTGTTTCAATTATTTTGCCTTAAGAGACCCATTATGCTGTATTTCTGATTTTATTGTGGCTTTGTCCTTAATTATATCTAATTTAATGGTTGTTATTTTATACACTAAAATACAATCTGAGTTTTTAGCATTTTATAGTTATCTTTGTAAGTTATACCATATCTGACAGTAAAGCTTCAAATTAAAAAAAAAGGAAATCGTGAGTTAATAAAACAAAATATTGAGTCAGATTGTCTTTTTAAATTATTCATGTATTATCTTTTATCCAAATTAAAATTGTTGTATATTTTATACAAAATATGTTGTACAGCAGATTTTTAGATATCAGAGCCTATATTATGCTATTTTTAAGTGAGGAAAAAACAATGATGCATTCTCTGTCCATTCAAAAACTCTAACCAAACTTCCCCAAGTATCACAAAACACCTTTAGGCAACTATATAACGATTTGCCAAAACTTTTTAATAACATTTACAAAGCATTTGAGACATCTCTTACCTGATTTTAAAAATACTTAATGAATTCATTATTTGGTATATTTTTGTTCAATAAGCAATGAGACTATGCAATATTGATTATAAATTAGCATTTTATTCTATCCAGTGATGAATAGTATACTGTACTATTCTGTATTATAAATTTTAAAAATGAAATAATATTATTTTTATCTAAATAATACTTGGGTTAGTGGGATCCCTAAATGCTTAATAGAAACAATCTCTGGGACCAGAGATTATTCTGTGTTCATCCTGGTAAATATCTTTCGGGTTTATTAAAATCACAAAGGCTCCCCCTTGCTCAGCATCTATTTTTGGCAAGACAAAAGAAGGATTTTTTAAGGTTTGTGTTTATTAGTTTAGGGTCTGAATATGTTTGCTGAACTTTTGACACACACTGATTTCCTGTTTATATTAACACTGTCTTGCATAGGTTATGTTCATTTATACATATGAGAAGAGCAAAAGAGGGAATTAGAAATGTAATATTGTGGAGTAATAGTTAAAAGAATTAGCTGATCTATAGTATTTGGTTTATCTAACCTTGTCATAAGTATGTTGCTCTAAATAAAATAGTATACTTTAATCAACTGTTCTTATTAGTAAAATAATCTATTTTGCTTTAGCATTGATTTTTTTCTAATTATCTGAAGCCTTGTCTAATGAACAGTGGTTTGGACTACTTGGAGTTTCATTTTAAGTTCAACCCTTAGTATAAATTCATTGCTATCAGATTTCTGCAATCCTGTTTTTTCTGCTTAATATTTCTTTGAGAGCCCTTATATTTCTCTATTTATTTCCCATTTTCCCCACAAATAATAGAAAATCTTTGACTTTCTTAATTATTCACATTGTATCTAGGAGTCAAGCAAGTGGACAGAAAATGCCTGTTTAATCTAGTGATAGGCAGAAGACCCTAAGGTGGGGCCAGTTTGCCCTTTTCGAAGATCAGAAAGATGGCCAAGCATAGGTGGAGCAGTGTTTGACAGTGGGAAGAGTGACCAAATTAGGATCAGAGATGGCTGGAGCCAGAACATGTAGGGCCTTCTAGTCCCTGTTCAGGATTTTAGATTTTGATGCAAGTACAAGATATCTTGGGGGACCCTAAACAGAGTAGTAATTATCAGATTTATGTTTTAAATCTCACTCTGGCTGCTAAGTGGGGGGCGGCAGAAAGGAGACAAGAATAGATGCCGATTAGAAGGCTGGGACAGAATTCCAGATGAGGAATCAGTGGGGGCTTAGATTAGGGTGGTGGCAAAGGAAATGAAGAAAAGTCAAGTATGTCTTGGAAGTAGAACCAACAAAAGTTGCTAATGGGTTGGATCTGGATGGGTAGAATGAAAAGGAGAAATCAAGGATGATTTCTAGGTATCGAGATTGTTTTGCAAGCTGATGGTGCCTTCTACAATAGGGAAAATGTTGGGGAGGAAACATTGGGGGCAGATGGAATTAAAAGTTCTGTTTTGGCTATCTGAAACTTGAGGTGTTTATTTGACTTCCAAATATATCTGCAACATATATGGATCAGTTTGATGAGTTTAGAGCTTGGCAGAGGTAGATCAAGGATGGAGACATGATATGAATGTGGAAGTTATCATTATATAGGTAGCATTTAAAGCCATGGGACTAAATGAAATTACTCTGAATATTTTTGTCATCCTCTCTGACCTGTACCTTCTCCCTCCCTTACCATGTAAAATTATTCCCACATTATGTTGCAGGTACATATTTTAATTATAGTACCTATAAATAATTTGGTTTTATTTTCTTTTTAGTAAAATACTCTGATTCCTTTATCCTGTTCATAGCTAACTGGTTTAAGAATATTCAGTTACTAGCTTCTATATTTAAGTGAACGTCTAAAAATTATGCATTTATTTTCTGTTTTTTTGTCTTTGCTCCAGGCAAAGTCATTAATAAAGATTTGCGGCATTACCTAAGTCTTCAGTTTCAAAAAGGATCAATTGACCACAAACTGCAGCAAGTGATCAGAGATAATCTCTACTTGAGAACCATTCCATGTAAGTATGTGATGGAATAAAAGAACTGAAGCAGAAATGTCCTTTCTTAACTAATTAAACATCTATAGATAGTTTGATAGAGTATTTCACATGAAATTGTGAAGACTAAATTGGGAGCAAAAATGAACAAAATTGGATAAGAAGAAAAATTTTCAGAGAACTTGAGAGGTTTTGTTTTTAAAAGTAGAAAAACTGGGCCGGGTGCAGTGACTCACACCTGTAATCCCAGCACTTTTTGAGGCCAAGGCAGGTGGATCACTTGAGTTCAGGAGTTCGAGACCAGCCTGGCCAACATGGTGAAACCTCGTCTCTACTAAAAACACAAAAATTAGCCCAGTGTGGTGGCAGGCACCTGTAATCCCAGCTACTTTGAAGGTTGAGGCAGGAGAATCGCTTGAACCCAGGAAGTGGAGGTTGCAGTGAGCCGAGATCATGCCACTGCACTCTAGCCTAGACGAAAGAGCAAGACTCTGCCTCAAAAAAAAAAAAAAAAAAAAAAAAAAAAAAAGTATAAAGTAGAAAAACTGGAAGATTCTATATTGTGACTTTTAAAAAGTGATGACTAGAATTTAAGACTATGTAATCCAAGCACTTTGGGAGGCTGAGGTGGGCAGATCAGCTGAGGTCACGAGTTTGAGACCAGCCTGGCCAACATGGTGAAACCCTGTCTCTACTAAAAACACAAAAATTAGCCAAGCATGGTGGCAGGCACCTGTAATCCCAGCTACTTGGGAGGCTGAGGCAGGAGAATCACTTGAACCCAAGAGGCAGAGGTTGCAGTGAGCCAAGATCGCGCTATTGCACTCCTGCCTGGGCGATAACAGCAAGACCCCCATCTCGAAAAAAGAAAAAAAGGAAATCAAAAAAGAATATATATTTACATGTTGTTAACTAGATTTTATTCCTGTAAATCGATTTGTAAAGCCTTATGCAGTAAGAAGACTTTTTAGCTCCCAATGCCTTGTATACCAAGAACAAGTATTTTATTAGAACATTATTTTAAAATAATTTTAAAATCTGCCCCTTCCCCAACAAGGAAAAAATTAAAAAAAAAAAAAAAAAAAAAAAAAGAAGAAGGAAAGGAACTCTCTCTTACTTGGAATAATTTTTTTTCCCTCCCTCCCTGGCTTCCTCCCTTCCTACCTTGACTATGTAGTGGCAAAGAGCTAAGTAAAGTTGAGTTCAAAATCTTTACTCTAGAATCTTACTGGCTACTTTACTTGGGCAAGTTACTTAATGTTCCTGGTCCTCAGAAACTCTATATATAGAATTAAAATAACAAGACTCACCTCATGTAGCTGTCACTAGGATTTAAAATGAGAGCATGTATGTAAAACTGCTTGGCCTAGAGTAGGCACTCAAGTAGTGTTTGTCACCTTCTCCCATTCTAACTGGATCTCCTGCCTCTCATTTCACCTCAATTCAATCGATTTTTAAAGTGCACATTTCTCAGCACTATAGGAAAGGGAAAAAAATTTAAAAATAAAGTGGACATCCGATTCTTGTCCATCTATAGTTTATCCTTCAAAGATTTCCACTGACAAATCAAGTTCAGACTCCTTAGCATCGCATAAAATATTTTTTGTTTTTTTTAATCTGCCTCCTTATCTATGATTTCCTCCTACAAATCTGCCTTGTAGCTGCAGATCACAACTTCTGCCTTTATTTCAATTTGTATTTGCCTGATGTGTCTTTGTCTATCTTGTTATTCTTAAAGTCTCTGAATCTCTGTTTTACAAATAGTTCTGGACTTTACTCAGCCAGTGTGAAACTTTTTACATTTTTATTGATGTGATCAATATCTTTAGCCTCAATTCTGTCATGGTTTTTATATTTACCATATATAAGCCTTTTGTATGAAAATCCTTTCACTATGTAGTCATCTCTCTCTTTTTAGAAAGGTTTGTAGGGATCTTTTTTTTTAATGGTTACCTTGATACCTTTATATAATAATCTTTGTTCCTCCCTCCCTCTTTTTTTGCTTCTGTCTCTACTATGAGTAATATTTAAATTACTTAGTCATCTCTTCTTTTTCCTTCCTTCTCTCCCATCATCTGACTTGAAGTAATACCTTTTTATTCCTACCAAATATAAGGTGATCAGTAAGCTTATTCCACTTTGCATATGCTTTCGTCATTCTTACCTTATTATTATTTTTTTTAATAGTTGGGCTGTATCTACATTGGCTAAGCAAATAGCCATTACATTACTGTAATTTCTTCCTTTATAATTATCATTTATCTTTTATTCTGTGGGTAAATACATATTTAATATAACCACCAATCCTTACGTTGTTATTTTTTCACTAATTGTAGTTGTCTAAAGCTTTTTCTTTACCCGATTTCCCAGCAAAGGCTCACAGGATCATCTTAGGATTTTGTTTGTGGCCTTTATACTTTGATGTTTGTTTGGATGGATATAAAATTTTTGACTCATTTTCTTTCCTCGACTATCTTAAATATATTAGTCAACTGTCTAACTGTTTTTGGCATAAAGCATTGCTCTTAAAGAGTTTGGTAGCAATCTAATTTTCATTTCTTTTTAAATAACTTGATATTTTTCCTGCATAGGATGTCTCATTTTTAGTTTCATAACTCTAGAGCTTCCTCTTCCGTTGTTAAAACAAGATAATAAAAATATGTACTTGTACTTTCTAAGATAGGTCTTTTTTTTTTTTTTACTGCCCTCTGCCACTTTCACTTGAGTTTTTCTTTTAATTTTATTGTTCTAGTTTTGCATTTTCCTCACTGTGAGGTTTTTATCCTTGAAGGGAGCTAAAATTTATTTTGTTTCATTTCATAGGGTCCAAGCAGCTGTAGCCCTTTTAGATCTCAATAGGCCCTCTTAACTTACACACAAATTGAAGTGTCCAAAGCTCCCTCTAGGAACCTAGACACAATGCCGCATCAGTAGCAGTTAGCATACTGAAGGGTCACATCTGGTCTCTAAATATCATACTTTCCTAAAAAGTTTGAGGTCTCCTTGGAGATAGTTCTGATTCTAGGTCTGGGGCAAGGAAAGTACACGATGAGCTTTGGAGCATGTAAGTGTATCAGAAAGTACATAGTGCTTAAAAAATTTTAGAGACATACCAGGAGGACATAGAAGCCACCTAAAAGGAGGCTTACTCAAAAAATCTGAGACAATTTGAGCAACAGTGTTGAAAAAAGAGAGAGGGCACTTCTATTGTCAGATATTGAGCTGTAGGTGGAATGGGACTGTAATCCCTGAGAGAAGAAAGGAGACCACACACAGAGGAATCCTATAATTTCCTCAAGTTTCTACTTAAAGGCACTTTCTGGACCACAGCACAAGGAGGGAGAGCCCAGGCAGAGTACAATGGACTCTGAGTTGAAGGGACAGAAATCTGAGTTCAAGAAGCCTGAGGTATCTGGAATTTGCAGGACAGAATGTCTCAGAGGAGACAGCTATGAAGAAAAAGAGCTCAAGCAATCTGTAAAGGCACCCCCTTGACTCTGTGGCTGAATACTAAGCTGAGAATATGTGGGATGAGACTTTTCAAGGTTAAACCAAAAAATCTCTTGGAGTTGTAAGTTTAACAATTCCCAGAGCTTACCCAGGGCCAGGAGACATTTGAGTTCTAATCAGCTTGGTGGAAGAATCCCATAAGACTCCTGCCTTACTAGCAGGGCTAAAATAGCCACAGATAAAGCTCCTCTAGGCCTGCTTTAACAAAGCTTAATTAAGCAAGACCCCAAAGGATCAAGTGAATATGCATGCAACTTAACTGCTAGCAAAAAAGGAAGAAAGAAGGAAAGAAGTAAATCAACACTCTTTAAAGAAAGACATTGGCCAGGCTCAGTGGCTCACGCCTGTAATCCCAGCACTTTGGGAGGCTGAGGCAGGCAGATCATGAGGTTAAGAGATCAAGACCATCCTGGCCTACATGGTGAAACCTCGTGCCTACTAAAAATACAAAAATTAGCTGGGCATAGTGGTGTGTGCCTGTAGTCCCAGCTACTTGGGAGGCTGAAGCAGGAGAATCGCTTGAACCCAGGAGGCGGAGGTTGCAGTGAGCCGAGATCGTGCCACTGCACTCCAGCCTGGCGACACAGTGAGACTCTGTCTCAAACAAACAAACAAACAAAAAAATAGAAAGACAACAAAATGGAAACATTGTGTAATAGAATATTCAAAATGTCCAGCATCTAATAAAAAATTACTAGACCTGCAAAAAGCAGGAAAATGTGACCCATAATCAAAAGAAAAGTCAGCTGATAGAAAAAAGAAACAGAAATGACACATGATGGCAGGACTATACCAGCAATTTTAGTTATTAGAAATATGCTCAAGGATTTAAAGAACAATATGAACATAATGAAGAGAAAAATTATATATAAATATTCATATGTGTATGTATGTGTGTGTGTGTGTGTGTATATATATATGTATATGTGAATTAAGTGGAACCTTAAAAATTCACTGAATGGACTTAACAGAAGATTCAAAACTGGAGAAGAAAAGATCAGTGAACCTGAACACATAGCAATATAAACTAATGAAACTGAAGCACAGAGAAGAAAATGACTGAGAAAGTGAAAACGTTCTGTTTTTTTGAGCAACCAGATGACAATGGGGAGGGGAGAGATTTCTACTTCTGCCATGAAGTACCAGTACCATAACTAGTACTAGATTTACCCTGTTGTCATAGACAACTAGAAATTGGATGAGGAATATGTAACAGCTGTTTTCAGACATTTAAATATAGGCAGAACAGGACTACGATGCATTTATATTTACCCATGGCAAACTATCAAGCCAAAGTGGAGGAAGGAGAAAAATTCTTAAAGAAATAGTGACTGAAATTTTTCCAAATTTGATGAAAATAATAAGCGCACAGATCAAAGAAGCTCAATAGACCCGAAACAGAAGAAACATGAAGAAAACCATATCAAAGGACATCATAATTAGATTATTAAAAACCATTGATAAAAAGAAAATGATGCTGGGCATGCTGGCATGTGCCCGTAATCTCAACT